AAAGGGACAATGAAGGCAACAACGATTGACCCGTGAAGGTTACACCCCATTCATAATCCATGAGATTACTAACTCCATATGGTTCGGAACCACTAAAGGAGGATCGGGGATGATGGTACGAAGTGAGTCATGGAGTCACATTCGCCCGTATTGGCCTCTACTCGATTCTTATAGTGAAAAGCATTCCTGTGATCTCAAAGGCATACAAACAATAATTTAATTCTCTCCAAACTATTATTTAACTAAGTTGGTTTAAGATTAATGCACACATAATTCTAAAATATGGTGATCACTTGAATTAACAATAAGATTAAAAGGGATCCTAAACCGGTTGTCCAAATTATCTTATTAGGCGTGATTTTCAATTACATATTCCCTTTAACATGAAATATGGTGATCAATAAAAAATAAAATCAACATTAATACCAATTTAATCACAACAACATAAAATTGTTAAAATAATAATAATAATAATAAAAGAGCATGATCCTTACTTTGAATCTATTTGTTTGCAACTACAAAACAATAAACGAGTTAGTAACTTCAAGGAAATAATAAAACAATAACTAAATTAAATTAAATAAAACTAAAGTTGATTTTGGGGCCAAACCCTCAAACGATTCTACCTTTCATGCCTTGACTTAAGGACAGAACCTCGAGTAAAATATGGACTCCTTTAAGTGTTTGAAGAAGGAATTTTGAAGTGAAAAGGGTAGGCTAGTGTTTAGGTTAATAGCATAGAAGAGAGAAAACAAGAATAATAAAATTTTGGTTGCCCCGTACATCAGAAATGAGGGGGTATTTATAGGGAAATGTGCTGAGGGAGCACACGGAAGCCTAAAATGATAAAAACCCTAAAAAAGTATCCCGTGACACGGTCAAACTGTATCGTGACACGGTTAGACTGTACCGTGACACTGTTAGACTGTACCGTCAGACGGTACAAGTTCCCGTGACACGGTCAGTTTTGGAGTGACGCGGGAAATTTTCAGAAAACGGAACGGAAAACGCGTTAAGGGTTTACGCTGAAAGGACACGAAACTCTCCGTGTCACAGGATACCTCCCGTGTCACGAGAAGTCCCACCGTCAGACGGGAGGGGTTCCTGTGACACGGTCAGTTTTAGTCCATTTTTCCGTCTAAATTCATTTTTAACCCTAATTTCTTTCGGCTTTTTAAGTGCCGATTGATAATTTCGGGCTTTTTCTGACTTTATTATTCGGACTAAAATATTTGGGCCAAAAATAAATAATAAATAAAATAATAAAATAAAAAGGTTTGGGCTTAAAATTAATTAACAAGTTTGGGCTAAAATTAAAACTGTGCTTTTACCAAACATCAAGACTAATCCATGGACCTTTCAAAGGTATGAATTTAATAAAATACGATTTTTCAAGCACTCTCGGGATTAAATACTAAACCCAACCAACAGTGGCGGTGAAAGGTTATTTATCATCGGGTTTGGTTTTGGGGAGACATTTTTAGGTGTCTACAATGATTGTAAAGATCACACCAGGTTTTTTTAGGGAAGGTTGAGCTCTTCCCTTTTCGGTGACTGTGACTTTCACCTTGTAGTCCTTACTTTGAGTAGTTAGCTCGTCTAAGTAAACTGGTTCCAATTTCATCTTTGGAGGTGTATTCATGATCTGGAATACATGATATGCAAAATAGTAAGTGAGTAAATATGCTGTCCTTTAAGAGCTGAAAGTAGATCAAGTAGTAAAATATAGTGGAAATGTAGATCAAGCAGTAAAATATGCTGTCCTTTAAGAGCTGAAAGTTCTAAACACTAAACCAGTGCATGTAAAAGCTATAAAAAGAGCAATAACTGGCATTGATGTGTTTTACAATGATCAAAGTTACAAGGTTGTTTTGGCATGCACTGTTTTTGTTTGTTTTTTCTTTAAAAATAAATAGGTTAGTAATAGTCTCTAAGTCTAATGAATGCAAAAGTTTGTTTTTTTTTCCAGAAAACACTATAAGCATAAAAGACAAGCAACATAATTTGCATGTAGTTAGAGTAAATAAGATCTCATTAATTACGGATCTTTAGTATAACAAAAGTGCAAAGCTGATGAGTGACATTTATGTCACTCCTAGGATAGTGTTTATGCCTTGTTTTAGCTTGTCTTAGGGTGTTTTGTAGTTGTTTTAATGGTTTTTTGTAGTTATTTTGTTCAAATAATGCGTGCATACATGTCTCGATGTGTTTTTAATGAAATCGCGTATATTCTTGAATGCTTGCCTTCATTGCGTGTTTGCACCGTTCCCTATACCTTATTGCTTCCCTTGGTGTTTGTGCTTAGGTATTTGAAGTCTTGGATTGCATAGAAGAAGCCAAGGAAGCATGAGAAAAGAATCGAAGAAAGCAAGGTGCAAGGGCGCGCACAATGTGCACGGGCGCGCGCTGGAGTGCGCGGGCGCGCAGCCCTGTTAGAACCCGCGCAAAAGAGGCAAAATTGCAGAATCGAGGCAGAGAGTTTTGCGCGGCCTGCGCGCGACTTGTGCGCAGGCGCACAGCCAGCAGCACGGGCGCACACAACCAAGCACCAAGCCGCACAACCCATGAATGCGCGGGCGCACAGGCCACTGTGCGGGCGCACAGCCCACTGCGCGGGCGCACAGATTTGTGCTAGGGCACATAGCGAGCCCCTGTTCAGTTTTTTTCGCGATTTCCTTTATATTTGCGAGCCTTATTTTTGTATGGAAGAACTTCATATTTTTAGATCTTTTTCCTAGTTTTAGGGTTAGATTAGGATTTTCTCTCTCTAGTTTAGGAGTAGTTGTAGAGAGAGAAAGCTTGGATTTCCATGGAGTTTTTGAGAGGTTGAAGAAGCAACTTTGTGGAACTTCTTCTCATCTATTCAATGAGCATTTTCTAACTTTCTCTCATCTTTATTTGTTTGCTTAATTCTTAGTTTTTTTATATTTGTTTGTTGATTTGAGTAGATTAATTAGTTTGTTTGTTTAATCTTGTTTTTATTCTTATTTTACCTTGTTTTCCATGTCTTTCTTCATTATGATAGCTTATGTCTTGTTCTAGGGAATTGAATGAAGGTTATATTAATGAATTGAATGATTGATTGTGATTAGTATGAAATTGTTTCTTGATTATTGTGTATGGGTGATGCTTTTATGGATTAGAATCTTTCTAGCTAATCGATTCTATGCTCTTAATTGTGATTTCAATCAATTGTGCGAGAGTGAGTTGGTTGAGAGCCCTAAATTCTTCCATACCTTTGCTAGGCTAGTTGCACGAGAGTGAATTAGTTTAGTAGGATAATTAACATGCTTAATTGTGAGAGAGTGAGTTAAATGTGTTGATGTTCCTAATCGAGGTCATTTTCATCTATTTGTATGATGTTGTTTAATACATTGATGTTATTGGATTCCACTTTCCCTAGTTTAAGTTATTTGCTCTTAGTAGTGTTTGGTTTAATCTCTCTCTATCTCACAACCTTTTTTCCTACTAGTCTAATTTGCACAAACTGATACACTTAGTTTTCGTGGTTCGACCCTTTACTTGCCACTAACTAGTTTAGTGTAAGGTTAGGTATTATAAATGATTAATTTGGTTAGGGTAGTAGCTTAACGACCTATCTAACCCGCGGTAGCATCTTAGCTCGAGAATAGCATCTTAGCTTTACTATTGACACACAACATCTGTAGTAAGGTAGTCGTACAACTAATAATAGATGATTCACTACTGCTCTACGTTACAATTCATAGAAATCTAAAAATGTACTTCAAACTGTAGTGCAAACCTCACCCCTGAAAGAACTTACGCAGTTAAGCATACAAAAGTGAGTACAACTTGGCTTTAGGAAACAGAGATATTTAAGTAAGCACTTATAGAATACATCATCTAAAAGCATTATAGAATTTCAAGCTAGACTATGAAAATATAACAAGGATTAACATGCATTGCAAGTGCTTCTCATTACTATGATACATCAGTATGTAAGGACATCCGCATCTGAACTCATACCAAGGATAACATAGTATAGCAAAGGAAGCACATTAGGTATACTGGCTAAGCTACTCGGTAAAAAGAAGACCGGTGACTTACATTGTCCTGTTAGCAAGGGAAACCATGAACTGAAGATGATCCAATCTGCAGGAAAGCATATACAGATTTCAGTAATGCTAAATCTAATAGATAACTATAGGTACATAAAAAAGGAAGACTGGACTACCTATAAAGCTTCACCAACAGCAACCTAGATCTTTTTGTGTACGTCTTCAGCAAGGCAGCAACTTAATCATACTGCTAAGCCTCACCATCAATTATGCTTGCTAGCTGTAATAGTTCATAAGACACTACATTCTTCACCGCATTTGCAGAACACTGAGCTGTACTGCATGTTGTAAAGACGCAGACATCTTTTGATTTCTTGGCCCGTGATAGTGCAACATAGAGTTGGCCATGGAAAAACATGGCCGCGGAAGATAAATGGATACTTGGCTGAGAGTCTGCCCCTGTGACTTATTAATTGTCATTGCAAAACTTAACTTTATAGGGAACTGCTTCCTTTCAAGCATAAATGGATAGTTAACTGAGCTAGACGACCTTAAATTAATTCTGTGTATGAACACTTCTTCCCCTTTGTAATGACCAACTGCTATAGCACACTAAATAACGTTAGGGAAAAATTTCTTGCAGATAAGCCTCGTGCCATTGCATAGATCCGAAGATGGCAGCAAATTCCGTAACAGTATCACAGGACAATTTTCCTTTAGTACAAGCTCATGTGGACTCATTCCTCCGGGACATAGCTTATTGATAAATTCTGTAGGATATACGCTACAGCTGTCATTCAGAACGGCATCAAAACTTTTGTATGTAACAGCCTGACCAGGGAATTTCTCTATCATGAATGTATTAACTGAATCCACGTCTTCATTCATGGGCGTAAGGATTGCCTTTTCAGTGAAAACCCGACCATCAAAGTGGCCATGTACCATTTCTGGGAATGTTGTTTCTACAACAGTACTAACTAATTATGTGGCATTGCTAGTAGATTCAACAATCTGTTCTGGCAACTCAACGAAAGCATTTTCTGTTTGCTGCAACTTGCCATTGCCTAAAGCAAGCAAAAAATCAGCATAGGCTAGATCTTCTTTTGCTCTAATATTTTCTGTTAGCCTAAATTTGATTAACTTTGTCCACAGGTAAGAAGTAAAAATGCTTGCTTCTACTGCTTCTTTCATAGTTTTCCGAGGAACTACTGGAAAAAATTGCCTAAAATCCCCTCCAAAGACGACAACCTTTCCTCCAAATATGTCCTTATTCCCACATACATCCTGCAGGAGAAGGTCTAAATATGCTAGATTTTTCTTTTTAGCCATAGAAGCCTCATCCCATGTAATCAGTGTAGTTTCTTTCAATAGTGCTGCTAAGCTACCTTGCTTTGGGACATCGCACACCAATGAACTATCGCTATCAATCGGAATCTTGAATCGAGAATGAGCGGTTTGACCAGAAGGAATATTTGCTGCAGCAATGTCTGAAGTAGCCGTAGGTAATACAATCTTGTTCATTCGTCTTATTTCTACATATAGAGCATTGTAAAGAAAAGTCTTACCTGTACCTCCAGGACCATCAACAAAGAACGCGCCCCCTTTTTGTTGCATTACATGATCCATAATATACTCCAACGCAGCATTTTGTGCAACGTTGAGCTTTGAACGACAACTTAAACATTCCTCTAGGATTGGTGCATCAAGAGCATCAACAATATCTTTAGTACGCCTGAACTCATCACTAACTTGAGAAATTAATTGGTCCAAACCAAAAAAAAAAAAAGAAAGAGATTTGCCCATTGCTTCAAGATATTGCTCCACTGATCTGACAGTAAGCTGCTGTATTCTCACCATTTGATTCGGAAATTTGTGGGAAAAATCTTCAGCAAGAAAATTATAATAGCCATTCCATAAAGCAACAGGATCACGTGGGTGACAAAACATCAGCACTGTGGCAAAAAGGCAGCGTAAAGCAGCAGGCATATGAGTTTCACACGCTTCATACATAGTTAAATTAGCTGCATCATCATCTTCTATAAGACCAAGCTTCAGAGCAGCTTCTTGAAAAGTTGGATACACCACAACCGTTGACAGTCCGTAAATCCTCAAACGATTTAGGACTCCTTAAATTTAGTAATAAAAGTCTAAGGAAGAACCGTTCACCTTCTGTTGGAAAGACAAATGCTAATCTACCAACTGAAATTCGGTTTTGAACTCTTTGTTTCCATTTTTTGTCACCTTGATGCCATGTGTAGTGTTCGCAAAACTCACCATACAAATATCCTAGCCCAAGTTCGGAAGCAGCATTCGTTGCAAAAAATTCAGTTAATTGAGTTCTTGACCGTTTTGAATCTGAAACAACAGCATGGAGCCTTTCATGAGGGAAAACATGGACAGTCTGCATATCAGGCAAATGAACCTGTAAAGGTAGAACCGCAGGATGCATTTCAAACAGATCAAAACTAAATATCCTCCATGCAGCTTCACAACGCGATACCCATCTACCTGATTGGTACTGCTGAATCTCATCTACAGAATTGGTGTCAGAAGCAACAACATTGTATGAAATCCGATCACGGCCCTTATAAACATACTTGTCAAGTACTTTATTGCTTTAATTGTCGAGCATACTTCGACGTTCAAGTGACAATCGAACAGAAAAGAAAGATAAGAATTGTAAGGGATAACCCACTGGTTATCTAATTCTGCATTTCTTATTGTTACCTTTTCCCCAGTTTCTCTCCGACAATAGATAGGATAACCATCCTTATTGTTAGTTGTTTCATTGCAAAACTGCTTAGGATACTTGTTCTTACAGCTGAGCTTTAGGCCATTCTTCCGCATACGTGGGCATTCAGGATTCAATATACCACAAGGACCATGCATCATGTGGGCCAACACAATTCTTCTCAACGTAACATTAGTCTCAGCAGCTATTTCAGCACAAACAAATCTGTCATAGTCAGCAGGAGACTTGAGCTTGTACTCAGGTTTTAAAACAATTAAGAAATGAGCATACGGCAAGCCTTTTTTCTGGAACTCGACAACATATACCATTGCAGCAACCTCTCCAAATACTTTCTTCTCCATAATTTCCTTTTTCAGCGCAAGCAGCTTCGCTCTAAAAATTCTAGCAACAAAGTCTGGCCTATCTTGTGCCGTCTCACCAGTCACCAGCTCGGCCTTGATTTCAGGCCAATTAGCATTACACGTAATCGTCAAAAAAAGATCTAGTTTATCTAACCGCTGTACTAAAGCCATAGCATTTAAGTACCTCTTCTTCATATCCCGAGGACCGCCGATATAGGTAGGAGGTAATATAACTCTCCGACCAACATTCTGACCAAAAGTTTCCCCAGAATCTAGTGAATCCAATATACCTTTATACAAATCAGCCCTTATTGTTTCTTGGTTGTTTCTGAAGTAATCAAGCCTGGTATTTTCAATCTTCACATACATATCCACTATGTATTGCTGAAAGCATCTAACTACTCGCAGCAGCATGTTGTTCGGGCGGATTTGCAGCTTGTATGCATAGTATTCCCTAGTAGAAATAAACTTGTCTGCTTTAGTATTTTCCCGCTTCGAACCTATGATTATAAATTCAGAAGGAAAAGTTACAAAAATCAGCAATACCAAGGACACATTACAAACATGCAACAAGACATACATTTTTTTTTAACAAATGCACAAAAGCAGGACCAAGGTCATACCTTAAAAATGCAATAGGACATATAAAACCTAAAATACTTACGGGCTTCTTCCTGAGTTAATAAATCTTCTGCAGTATGCACAGCACAGGAGATTATAGGATCAGGAATCGAATCTGCTGTTCTCCTACTTGGATGAGAATTTTTTTTAAGGCCTTGAGTCCAGCCACATTCTCCTCGAGGAAATAACAACGGATATTGAAGGGGATCATAGCAACCATAACTATGATAAATTCGGTGAGATTTGTCCGATTTTCCTGTGACTAATTTATGAGGGCCCAAGCTTTCGCTAGACGAATAATTTTCTGGCCAGATTACAGCAACATCATCCACAGCAGGAGCGTTATAAACACGCTGATCAAGCACTGAATTTCGATTAAGAACAATTGTTGTGTCTACATGTATAACCCTGTCGCGTAAAGACCGAAAGAAAATAGCATACGGATTCTTTTCAGATACCTGCATGAGAATGCTAACCACATCTTCTCTTATTTCATGGAAACAACCTACTCTATTTTCTGCTTCATGCCGACCATCATAGAAGTATAGTTATAGGTATTTGGGATTGCTATCATCAGGCAATAAATCTGGCACAAAATGGTACATTTGGCCATGCAACTTGAATAAATAAATCCCTTTATAAGTTCTTGCATAATAATGCCCCCCTAATGAACTAAATGCAAACAAATTGTTGTATAATCTAGCATACTTTCTAAAATGCACAGCACCTTCATCCTTTGAAGTAAACAAGTAAACAAGCTCATGAGGATAATTAGTTGCAGCTATCGTAATATCTCCATTCCCACAACAGAAATGCAAGGACTCAAACATAAATTTTTTTTGCACCGCATTTGTCACAAAAAACAGGAAAAGAAAGACTGAAAGGTTCCATTGGAAGCTGTCGATCTGTAGCAGCATCAAGGATATCTAACAGGTACATAGGAAAAGGAAAGCATACCGGTTAATTGATATGAAATATGACAGTAAACAATACAAGGTATATAATAAGTATACTACTTATTTACCTTCTACATGAGTTTGTTTAGTCTTCTTTTTAGAAGAAAGAGGTATTCTTGAGTCTGTTCCACTGCATGCAACAAATATCGTCTTACTATGGCATCTGTACAGTAAATAGCTCCCACTAATCTCAACCAGCTACTATAGCATCTATAGAATACTAAGCAATAAACACTCTGAAATAGTATAGTCATTCACAAGCATCATTATACTCCATATTTAACATAGTCAAACAACAAGGGATGACCAGTCTAAATAGAAGAAATGATACTAACCTTACCACTAAGATGCTACTAAATGCAGCACAGCACTGATGAGCATAAAGATGCCTACTTCAATGAAAACAGTATACCTGTTTAGCTGCGACGTCGGTAGGTCCTGCATACTCTTCTGTCGGTCCGAGGTAGAATTTTGTCGAGAATGTGTAGCAACACACTGAACATCCAGTAAAGACAGGCTGCAAACAAAGGGCATTTTTTTTTTCACAGGCATAGTACTGGCTATCCTAAATACTGTTAACTTTCAACGAGATATATACCTAGCAAAAAGATGCTAATATACTTACAAATGATTCGGCCCTAGTTACTAAAACAATAATATATGCATCACAACACTAATAAGCATAAAAACGGCTACTTGAATAAAAAATAGTGTACCTATGTAGCTGTGGTGTACTAAGGCCTTCCCTACATTTTTGTCGCTTTGAGGAAGAACTCTGCCGAGAGCGTTTAGCAGCACACTCCGTGTCTGGTAAAGACGAACTACAAATAAAGGTGAAGTCTTTTTTTTGCACAAACATAATAATGGATATCCTAAATAGTCTAACATTTGATGCAACTGTATACCTAGCAAACGCTGACTACGATGTTCTTTGCGCTGCCCTATTCAATCTACTATAGCTCTTCCGAGATAGGTGAGGAATGCCATAACGCAAATCTACCACACAGTATATAGCAATTACTGTAGAGTAGAAATGGTACAAAAACACAGATATACTAACTAAGATAAAGTGGAACTTAGTTCAGGTAAGCCAGTACCCATAGTTACCACTGCAGAGCAGTTTCGAAGAATTGGAACGTAATAGGATTCCCCAAAACCTTATGTTGGTTACGTCTGTACTATTTGTAAAACCAAGAAACCATGAACTGTAGGACAGTAATGAACACAGGTACCCTTAGTAAAAGAGTGCATATAGACAGAAACAACAACAATCTGCAGGCTGAATCAAAAAAAAAAAAAAAAAAAAAAAAAAAAGAGATGCATTCATGCAAAAGAGGCCATAGTCAAAGAGGACATTATGGCAAAAAGGAAACCAATTTACATACTAAAATAAGAAACACAAAAGAACTGCATTCATTCAAAAGAAGCCATAGTCAAAGAGGACATTATGGCAAAAAGGAAACCAATTTACATACTAAAATAAGAAACACAAAAGAACTGCATTCATTCAAAAGAAGCCATAGTGGCAGTACATTCAAAATAGAAATAACATTACAACAAAAGGATTCAATTACAGGACATCATCTATTACATATGCTGCGTACATCTATTAATAATCGATAAAATCTGCCTTATTAAGTCACTGTATCCCAACCAAAAGATTACCATCTACTTACAAACCCTCAATCACCTAAATCCAAAAGGCAGCTAGCCATACTAAACATAGTTACTCAACCCTAGCACACTTATAGACAGCCTCTAAATCAGACAGACCACCAACAAGGTTGTCAAGCACCTGGATTCCCACACCACTGGTCGATGACTCACTCCTATCAATCCTGCGCTTAGCTGGAAGACTTGGTGGGAGAGATAAAACTTGAATTTGATTTTCTTCATCAGTCGGCGTCACACATACATCGTTACCTAATCCATTAACAGAATCAGCTTGTTTTGAACTGCTCGCCAAGCACTCTAGATGACCCTTCAAAACCAAATACTTCTCCCTTATCATAGAACACTCTCCACTCATCTTTGCTGCCGCACCATAGTTAGCATCAACTATTTCTAGATTGCAAATAGAAGCTACAAAGAAACTTGCTTTCTTTGCAACTCGCTGCTCAGCAATGTACACTTCACGACAGGGCTCATTGGAAATGCACTCCATGGAAATATTATTCTGAGGGCAGGTCACCATTAAACAAGACATATAGCCATGGCCTTCTAATGTAGTGGTTTCAATGCCAGTCACAGAAAACCAGTCTTCCTAACCAAAACTCCCAAAAACTGTGCAAAATCCAATGAAACATGAACATCATGAAACAATGCATCCTCCCTTGTACTGCATTCTACACGTATGCGACTTAAATCTTCTCTGTCCTGGACTAACTCAGTACATCTATTCTTATACAACTTCACACATAATCGATACATCTTAATGCGCACATAAGTGAAATCAGACACGCGCACACTAAACCGACACATCAATCTCTTCACAGCTTTGTGCGCCGCTCTTTCACGAGACTCTTCAACTGAGCTAGCATCTCCACCATAAAAAATGAACTTTGTACGCAAGTTTGGCTTATTAACCCGCACAAAGACATTATTCTTTGCAGCATCTATAAATCCATAGACTGGTGCTGGAAACTGCAACCAAGCAACAACCTTTTCCAAAAGAGGCTGAAAAGGAACAAAGACTCTGTTTGACTGTCTAGCCATAACCTGTAATGGCAAAAACGATATTCAGCCCAAAATTGTTCAACAATAGGAAAGGGCTTTCTCTCCTAAACAAGGCCACTAAACCCTACACACACCATGCTGTAAAAATATAATTAAATGCCACTAATAGAAATCCAATCAGGGGAAAAAAAAAATTGCAACGCAAACAAAGAAAAAAATCATATAAAATAATCTAGAAGCAAAGAAAATAAGTATTCTAAAAATTACAAACACTCCACCAAAGAACAATCATGCCATTAGTGCTCTATAACCCAAAAACCCTTAAAATCTGATAAGCCAAATGGAATAAACAGCTTGATAAGTCAAACAAAATGTACAACTTTGTCCCAGTCCATGTCTAATCCCCACCCCTATCTACTCAATTACAGGCAACCATTGCTAAACACTCATTCATACTCTATCATCAGGTAACATTGAAGAGTTATGCCATACTAAAACAATCAAACATATATTGTTTTTCCTGTAAATCCAAGAGCCAAAAGGTACTATTTCTGCTAAAATAAGATGCAAAATAGACTCAACAAACACTTAATTAATAAAAAAGGAAATTGTTACATGCAGCTAAGCTGCCAGTAAAGCACCACATAGAAAAGATAGTCTTAACTATACAACATCGAATTCATAAAAGGAAGCAAAAAAAGTACCTTAACAAATGTCCAACAACAACACCACAAAACAATTATTTCAATGAACCTGTAACCCCAAGAAAAAACAGAAATAAGAA